AATGATAAGTCTGGTGGCTACAGTAAGCATGTGTGTGATGGTGACAGTGAGTGTGGTGACTGTAGTAAGCCTGTGTGTGATGGTGACAGTGAGTGTGGTGACTGTAGTAAGCATGTGTGTGATGATAATAGTAACATTTTTAACACTTAGACATACTCAGAAGGAGATCGGAACACTTATGGTTTTGACTAAAGTGCGATGCAGATGATTTCTAACTTGAGCTATGAACTAAGAACTTTGTTTATATGATTTTCGTGAAATATTATATATTGATTCAGCTTACTGAAACAAAAGTGAAATCCAAAGAAAAGAAAGCTGTTTTTTTTTAAAGAAAATGTTTTTTCCTGGGGAAAGAAAATTGATCCGCCTGTTTTCCAGTACACGAGTATACAGTGCTAAACATTAAAACGATTGTTAAATCTCATCAATGTTTTAAAAAAAAAAATAAGCTAAACTTGTTGGCAATTGTTTCTTTTGTCTGTTTATTCACAAAAACTTGGTTAGTTGCGTATCCTTTACAGGACGTTGCAGAACCAAACCCAACAGCCCCTGGCTGTTGTGTGGTTTTTCTAGGCAAATTTACGTCGAGTAGTTTGCCATTGCTTCCTGGACGGTCAGCTTTCTTAATATCACTGTCGAAACCGACGCAGCTGGGATCGAACGTGGCATCCTGGCATTACAAAACGTTCGCATCGACTTAGACATAAAGACTAGAGTGACGGCAAATATGACTTATGTTAAACTATATTAGCATTCCAGCATTTTTGTGATTTTCGTGTTTGGGAATGTGTGTTTGTGTGTACGCGCGCGCATGTGTGTGTGTGTGTGTGTGTGTGTGTGTGTGTGTGTGTGTGTGTGTGTGTGTGTCGAACTACTGTGTGCTTTTGGTGCATTGGAGTCGGTTTTGTTGAGACGGACAATTACATCTCTACTGAAACAAAGATCCACAACTCAGTCAAACACAGATGGTCATCTTTACCGAAACACAGATTCACAGATTCTACTAAAATAAATATCTATGTCTCGAGTAAAACACAGATTCACAGATTCTACTAAAATAAATATCTATGTCTCGAGTAAAACACAGATTCGTCGATTCTGTTCAAATAAACATTGAGTTTCCCTCTACTGAAGCACAGATTATGTTGATTTCTTGTATAAAACACAGATTAGCAGATTATATTTGACATATTCATTGACATCTCTGCGGAAACACAGATTCTAACAACTTGGTACTTGGTGTTTAAAAAAAAAAAAATCGTGCTTCTTTCAACCGGCTCCTAGTTTGAGCAGTGGTTATATCGAAGGCTGTGTATAGTTGTTTGGAATTCGCGTTCCAATTAACGTTAAGTTTCTGTTGCGGCATTTATATTACGCCTGAGGTTGCTGTTGCTGTCAGAGTGTAGGAAGGGATCTCGGTCTGCCCTAAAAAGGGCCAGATTCTATCTAAGATTCACACATCTATTTTTAGAGGCTCATTGCCTCTGACTCCTTTGTCTCAACGACTCTGGAGCTCAGCCCAATGCCTCTGACTTCTTTGTCTCAACGACTCTGGAACTCAGCTCATTAAGCCTACCTACCCTGTTCATACTTCTTCTATCAATAGCCACTGCAGATGTGGACAGTCTACTCTCTTACTTCCTTTGCTGATGTGTACTTCTGGATGATGTCAACTCATTCTAGGCGGAATTTGTCAGTTTTGATCTTTCTAGCATGCTCATCTAGTCTGTCACTGTCAATGCATGAGTCGCTTTCTGTTCTGTCACCATTCCCCTTTGACATATACTATGCTCATCTTAAGTCTAGAAGAAGTTTAACTTAATGCCCGACTTTCGTCTCTTACTGTCTTCCCATTGACCTGCGCTGTGTATTTTTACGCTAAACCCACCCCACGAATCACTGCGCCATCAGTATAGATGATGATATCACTTGGTCTTAGTGCTAATGAATGAGGGCCTTTGCTTCAGCATCAGGGGCTGTTTGGCTTCATCCACTGGAATGCATGCCTAGTGTGATTATTACCTCAGTGTGCCCTCGCATTTTTGTACTTGTCTGTCTATCCGTTCAGGGCCGAGCCTGATATGCTCCACGCTTGGGTAATGGTGACATCTGCGTCCGCTGATCTTAGTTCACCCATTAGCAGCTGTGAAGGGGTTGCTAAATTTCAGCAAAAAAATCCAAGTAAACACTCGTAAAGGCCATTCTATGTCTAGTGGCCGTGTCACGTGGCACGATATGAAGTTTCCGTGTACACCTGATAATCGGTCTGTTAGCTTCTTTTGTGTAGTTTCTCTAGTCTTTCCAGTAGATGTCTCTTAAGTCTGCTAGAGTCAGAACACCAAGTCTGTGTGTGTGTGTGTGTGTGTGTGTGTGTGTGTGTCTGTGTGTGTGTGTGACAAGACATAATCTTTAAAACCTTTGACGAGAAAGAACTAGGGTAGACAAACAAATATATTATCGAATAACTTGGTCACGTGGCTTTAGTTGAGCAAATCACAGACGTGATCCCTTGATTCTGGTGATCAGGTAAGCAAGATAACCAATACTATCTAAGTTTACCGGCGAGGCATATGCTGGAAATGAAATCTAATAGATATACACGAGTCCCACTGAACTATATGCTGCCTGTCCGTGGTACACGATGTAATGGTCTCACGCTGGACAGGGAAAACTGCACATCTACGTCATACATGTTGTAATGGTCTCACGCTGGACAGGGAAAACTGCACATCTACGTCATACATGTTGTAATGGTCTCATGCTTGACAGGGAATACCTTTACAACTACGTCATACATGTTGTAATGGTCTGGCGCTTGACAGGGAAAACATTCACAACTACGTCACACATGTTGTAATGGTTCACGCTTGACAGGGAAAACCTTTACAACTACGTCATACATGTTGTAATGGTCTGGCGCTTGACAGGGAAAACATTCACAACTACGTCACACATGTTGTAATGGTTCACGCTTGACAGGAAAAACCTTTACAACTACGTCATACATGTTGTAATGGTCTGGCGCTTGACAGGAAAAACATTCACAACTACGTCATACATGTTGTAATGGTTCACGCTTGACAGGGAAAACCTTTACAACTACGTCATACATGTTGTAATGGTCTCATGCTTGACAGGGAAAACATTCACATCTACGTCATACATGTTGTAATGGTCTCACGCTTGACAAGGAAAACATTCACATCTACGTCATAATTTTAAAAAGGTTAAAAACAATTACCAATAAATTTTTAAAAAATAATAAATGAGAAAAGACTATACCATCACAAAAGAAAAATGATGACATCAAGCTAAATATCTCATGAATATGAATGAAAAAGGCTACAAATATCAAACCTATTTTCAAACATGTTTGTAAAATTGACAAGATGGTGCATAGAGAGTCATGGTCCAAGTGTCGTTGAGCAGTATAACCTGCATACAGTGACAGTAATGTTCGCTCGAGCTGGCCTAGCTCATGGATAGTAACGTTTCTGGTCAATCGAAATATTTCAGCATCTTCAAACAACTTAATAGGCTCACAGAAAACAATCAAACCGTTCTCCAGTGGATCCAGGCTCACTGCGGCATTCCAGACAATGGCTTAGCAAACTTGCAACAACAACAACAACAAAAAGTAAAAACAATGCAACAATCCATTGTCATTACCAGAAATCAGAACAATTATCAAAGGAAAATACAGGGAATTGTGGAAAGACCAAACTAACAGTAAGCATCCACAAGACCCCATCAGCAGACTCAACAGAAATCAACAAACAAAAATTTTCCGTTTACAAACAGGACACTGCAGGTTCAACTACCACACGCATAAAATAAAGATTGTACAGTCCCCACCGTGTGCCTGTCAAACAGGACCACAAACATCTGAGCACATACTGCAGACCTGCCAAATCTACTTACAACTTTGAAAAAACACCTGGACTCAAGAGAAAAGTGTGCAGAGCAAGCTATGGGGAACCATGAAGGACCTGCTACTGACATGCAAGTTCGTAGAGGCAACTCACCTGATGGTCTGATCTGAGCGTACGAAACTGAACGTAAAGAAGAAGAAGAAACAACTTATGAATTTACTATGTTGGAAAAGTACTTTCGAGACGTGTTCTGCACAGATCTTAGGGTACCAGATTTACTCAGAGTCACAGTGTTTCTTTCGTAGGGACCGGTCTGCCACTGATATGATATTTTCGTCACGACAGTTGCAGGAAAGATGTGAACAAATTCAACCACTGTATACTGCTTTTATTGATCTTACCAGAGCATTTGATTTGGTTAGTCGAAAAGGTCTGTTCAACACGCTGAAAAAGAAACAGACAGACAGACAGACAGACAGACAGACAGACAGACAGACAGACAGACAGACAGACAGACAGACAGACAGACAGACAGACAGACAGACAGACAGACAGACAGACAGACAGACAGACAGACAGACAGACAGACAGACAGATCTGTTCTATCTGCCTGTCTACCTATCGACACACGGACAGACATATAGACAGATAAAAAGACTGAAACAAACACAGACTGACACATAGACAGACAGATAGTAGAGTGTCCCGTGACGCCTATCGACTGTTTGTTTATTCATGTGTTGACTATCATTTACAATGCTGGCCCTGTATTGTTTGACCCGAGACGTTGATCACTCAGTACAAAACGTCATGGTGACAAATGGCCTGTATCTTTTATCTGATTAGATTACTTTTTTCGATAAATAACTGTATCTACAAAACCGAAAATGTTGTAATTTCAGCGAATATGAGATTAAATGTTATCTTTAGAGTGTACTTGTAAATCTGTTTCACTTGACATCACATCTAGTCGCGGGTAGATGAAGGTGTGTGTGAAACTATTGTAGAAGTTTTTTACAGTTTCCCTTAACGGCTTTGCTGTGTACAGTTAGACTGTTAATAACGAAACAAGAGACACGGTTACTGACTGTGTCTTCTCTAAGAAACTAACAACCTTCACCTTCAGCAATGACTAGATCAATTATCTGTGTGCTCAGCTTTCTCATTTCACAAGGTATGTTCTGTGTTGTCATGTCTTGAAGCCGTAAAATACAAGGTATGTTCTGTGTTGTCATGTCTTGAAGCTGTAAAATACAAGGTATGTTTTGTGTTGTCATGTCTTGAAGCCGTAAAATACAAGGTATGTTCTGTGTTGTCATGTCGTGAAACCGTGATAACAAGGTATGTTATGTGTTGTCATGTCGTGGAGCCGTGATAAGAAGGTATGTTTCGTGTTGTCATGTCTTGAAACCGTGATAACACGGTATGTTCTGTGTTGTCATATCTTGGAGCCGTGATAACAAGGTATGTTCTGTGTTGTCATGTCTTGGAGCCGTGATAACAAGGTATTTTCTGTGTTGTCATGTCTTGGAGCCGTGATAACAAGGTATGTTTTGTGTTGTCGTCTTGAAGCCGTGATAACAAGGTATTTTCTGTGTTGTCATGTCTTGGAGTCGTGATAACAAGGTATGTTTTGTGTTGTCATGTCTACAAACCGTGATAACAAGGTATGTTTTGTGTTGTCATGTCTTGAAACCGTGATAACAAGGTATGTTCTGTGTTGTCATGTCTTGGAGCCGTGATAACAACAGAGAATTCTTTTTTTTTTTTTTTTTAATCATTTTGTGTTTATGGTTTGATCTCCACCCGAGGCATAGTGTTTATAACTTTAGAGAACGCCACCAAAACCGGCAGAAGACGATTACCATATAATGGAAAGACCAGAGCAAGTTATTATTCTACGCCTTAGAAGAGGACACAATCGCAACCATGTGTACATACAATTTAAAATTGGCGAATCAGCCATTTGTACGTGTGGATTAGCACCTGAGACAACAGATCACGTCCTTCAGGATTGTTCCAAACACAACACATGGACACAAAACTGTTGGCCAAGAGAATTACTCTGCAAGCCAAACTTTACAGGTCGCTGACTGAATTACAAAAGGCAGTGAAGTTCATCCAAGAGACGCCATTGCAGATATAGACAATCTATTTCAAACCAACGAAAGAAGAAAAAAAAAATAAAAAGAAGAGAAGAATTTTTGGATAAGACAAATAGACACTAAATATGTCTCTGTGAAAGCAGAATATTGAGACAGCTTTTATAAGCTAGCTATATGACACAATAACTCAACACTAATTTGTGGACGCGCCTTTAAATCAATAACCCCGACTTTGCAAGAGAAAATCACGAAATCAAGTTTTCTTTGACCCCCTATTAAACCAGTCGTAGTATTCATTACTTCCTGAAACTAATAAAAGTCAACCTTCCAAAAGTCTATCAAGATGGTTTGATGAAAAAACTACATATTATATTTTCTTTGGTGAAAAAAATATTTCCTTAACGTTATGGATTTTCTAAGGCTGCATGAAAAAAAAAAAAAAATCATTGTCATCTAACGGGCAGTTTTGGAGAAAATGGCTTGCATGTGTGTTTATCAATTGTTGAATAAACTCTAGTATAAACATTATACTGGGGAAGTCAGAATAGTTTTGTTCTGCTCATTTTTTCACATTAATCCTAAATACGACAACTGTGAAACTTGAAGGAAAAGACAAGTTGTGGGCGACGTCGAAATGGGGCCCATCAGAACAACTCTGGTCTAGACATTGTCTTTGGCAACGGGTCGAAGGGAACATGTCGAAACTAAACTGCATACAAACATAACTGAAAAGGAAGAGAATGAGCTCTGAAGTGCAACATTATAAAGCAGGGGTATTTCATAGGATGACGATAATAGGCTTGTTTTGTGGCAAGTAATGACTACTGTTGTCATCAGAACAGTCATTCCCTTGTGGGATGCAATTTTTCATTATTTTGAAGCCCCACTCTGGCTCTTTCTTATAGCCCAGCCATAAATATGGCCTAATGGCTGAACGTGGTTTCCGGGGACTTCTCCACGGGTGAACCTCATCCACATGGTGGCACTTTGTGTCATCGGTTGTTTATCGCTTGTGTGATCTCCTGGTGGTGTAAAATCTACTACTAGAACTACTCAAAGTCGACTGTTTCCAGGTGAAGATCATAGGCACCACTATACCTGTAAAACAAACTGTCAGTCACTGTCTTTATTATACCACTTTTGTGGTGTGGGCGGGGGGTATTTGATCCGCATGGCTGGTGGTGTCGGCACTACTGTGTGGATGAGAGTTTTATTTTGCCTCCGACAGAAAAATATCCCCAGTCTTACCGATGAATCGAATCCGGGTCGCCTGCTTGAGAGCCCAGCGTTCTAGCCGTTCGGCCAGCCACTCCTCCTATACCTGTAAAACATTAATCTTATGCTAAAGGCGGGTCAAGTTAATGTGAATCCAATCCAATCCTGCATGAGTGAGTATCACAAGGAGTGTGGTCTATTGTCCTCTTGATCCATATGTACTGCAAAGAGTTCACCTGTGTATTGTTTAGTGTTTTTCTACCATTTGTTTTGTTTGCAGCTGCAGGAAGTTACTACTGCCTCTACGACGACGGGTTAACCACAGATTACGTGTGGTGCACTTGGGGATGTTGTGATAACGGACTTCTGGAGCCGTGTTGTGATCAACCACTGTGAGTGCTTGTCCTTGTTTGTTGATTGAGTTAGCAGGCGGCAAAGATGGTGGACTAGGGAAATACACACACGTTTGGTTTTGTATATGTCCGCATATCTATCTATCTATCTATCTATCTATCTATCTATCTATCTATCTATCTATCTATCTATCTATCTATCTATCTATCTATCTATCTATCTATCTATCTATCTATCTATCTATCTATCTATCTATCTATCTATCTATCTATCTATCTATCTATCTATCTATCTATCTATCTATCTATCTATCTATCTATCTATCTATCTATCTATCTATCTATCTATCTATCTATCTATCTATCTATCTATCTATCTATCTATCTATCTATCTATCTATCTATCTATCTATCTATCTATCTATCTATCTATCTATCTATCTATCTATCTATCTATCTATCTATCTATCTATCTATCTATCTATCTATCTATCTATCTATCTATCTATCTATCTATCTATCTATCTATCTATCTATCTATCTATCTATCTATCTATCTATCTATCTATCTATCTATCTATCTATCTATCTATCTATCTATCTATCTATCTATCTATCTATCTATCTATCTATCTATCTATCTATCTATCTATCTATCTATCTATCTATCTATCTATCTATCTATCTATCTATCTATCTATCTATCTATCTATCTATCTATCTATCTATCTATCTATCTATCTATCTATCTATCTATCTAATCTATCCGTCTGTCCGTCCGTCCGTTCGTCTGTTCGTCTGTCTGTTTCCCTGTCTGTCTGTTCATCTATCTCAAATAGCAGGAATTTAGAGGAAACAAAACAAAAGGAATTAGTGTCGTGGTGAGTGGTGTAACACAGCACTCTCACTCACACATTCTAACACAGCACTGGCACTCTCACATTCTAACACAGCACTCTCTCTCTCTCTCACATTCTAACACATCACTCTCACTTACACATTCTAACAGCACTCTCACTCACACATTCTAACACATCACTCTCACTTACACATTCTAACAGCACTCTCACTCACACATTCTAACACATCACTCACACATTCTAACACAGCACTCTCACTTACACATTCTAACACATCACTCTCACTTACACATTCTAACACATCACTCTCACTTACACATTCTAACACATCACTCTCACTCACACATTCTAACACAGCACTCTCACTCACACATTCTAACACATCACTCTCACTTACACATTCTAACACAGCACTCTCACTCTTACATTCTAACACAGCACTCTCACTCTCACATTCTAACACAGCACTCTCACTCTCACATTCTAACACAGCACTCTCACTCTCACATTCTAACACAGCACTCTCACTCTCACATTGTAACACATCACTCTCACCTACACATTCTAACACAGCACTCTCACTCACACATTCTAACACATCACTCTCACCTACACATTCTAACACATCACTCTCACTCTCACATTCTAACACAGCACTCTAACTCTCACATTCTAACACAGCACTCTCACTCACACATTCTAACACACCACTCTCACTTACACATTCTAACACAGCACTCTCACTTACACATTCTAACAGCAATCTCACTTACACATTCTAACAGCACTCTCACTTACACATTCTTACACAGCACTCTCACTCACACATTCTAACATCACTCTCACTTACACATTCTAACAGCACTCTTACTTACACATTCTAACAGCACTCTCACTCACACATTCTAACACATCAATCTCACTCACACATCTAACAGCACTCTCACTCACACATTCTAAAACATCACTCTCACACATTCTTACACAGCACTCTCACTCACACATTCTAATACAGTACTCTCACTCACACATTCCAACACATCACTCTCACACATTATAACACATCACTCTCACTCACACATTCTAACACAGCACTCTTACTCACACATACTAACACAGCACTCTGACTCACACATTCTAACACAGCACTCTCACTCACACATTCTAACACAGCACTCTTACTCACACATACTAATACAGCACTTTCACTCACACATTTTAACACAGCACTCTCACTAACACATTCTAACACATCACTCTCACTTACACATTCTAACACAGCACTCTCACTCACACATTCTAACACATCACTCTCACACATTCTAACACAGCACTCTCACCCACATATTCTAACACAGCACTCTCACTCACACATTCTAACACATCATTCTCACACATTCTTACACAGCACTCTCACTCACACATTCTAACACAGCACTCTCACTCACACATTCTAACACAGCACTCTTACTTACACATTCTATATCAGTAAAAGAAATCAGAAAAAAAAGAAGAAATAATAGTTTGTAAACGGGTATTTCACAGTGTTATCACAGCAGTGTCATGTTATCTTTCTGTTTCACATTGAAATAGCATTGCATGTTATCTGTCTATTTCACAATGATATAGCATTGCGTGTTATCTGTCTGTTTCCCAGTGTTATCACAGCAGTATCACGTTGTCTGTCTGTAGCTACGCGGGTACTCCTTTCATCGCCGGGCTGACGTGCGGTTCAGTAGCTCTGGTCTGTGCTGTCATTGGCATTCTGATATACAGAAGACGGCGATACAACACAACAACAGTGCAGTATGGGCCCACAGTACAGCCGCATGTCTTCAGTAGCACCACTTGTAAGTCGCTGACATGCACGTTTGTTAGGGTATATAGCAGTAGATTCGGGAAGCGTCCAAAATAGTCGACCAATGTTTGAATGCGTGATTTCCCATTGAAAACTACATGTCATCTGTGTTCATATGGATGTATCATTGACATCATAAATTGTGCAGTCTTGTTATGTAAGTTTTTTTGTATGTTCTAAACACGGCATGAATCAATATTCCACACTCTTTCCACCTAACAAAGCCCAGCAACTGTTTCGCGCCTTTGTGAGTTATGAGTTAGATTATCTTCACAGCACTTCGGACACATCCATAGGCGCTCAGATTCCCGTCTCAACATATTCATCAGAGTCGCGCAGTCTTATGTTGGTTAACAAAACTTCGTGTGCGTCCGGTGTGCTTCTCATGCTTGGCTGTGCCGATCTTAATTCCCAAATCCTCGTATTCTTAGCAGTGATGTGGGCACGTTGCTACCAAAATCCTCAGAACGTCCTATCTCTCTAAGGGCAATGACAATGTCTGCGTGATCCATGGGCCGGCCATCTTCAATTAATTCAGCCCCTGCCAGATTATCAGCTCTCTCATTACCAACAACGCCTGCATGCCCTGGGACGAACAAGAGAGTTTAGCAATGACTCAGACCACTGTCTGCTTAATCAGCCTGCCTCGACCCGTCGTATCATGCTCAAAGAATCACTCAGCACACACACACACACACACGCAGGAATAGTCCTGTGATTCTAGCCACACGAAAGTTTGTGTCACTGCCATCACCTCCATGGTCATGCTGCTGGTGGTCATGGAGAAGGCACCGCTGGCTTCTTGAACTCCTCTGCCCGAAAAACGAGCTGTAAATGCCCATGCACTCTTATGTTCTCGTATTAAGAGACCCGACTGTGAAGATCAGCACATCTGTATCATCTGACTTGTCACTGATAAGCGGCATACATCGGCATTGACAGCAGATGGATTCTGCTCCCGACAACTCCTATCGAGCGTCACGAGAATGTGAGATTTGGCGCTTTAGACGCTGGTATCCATTTCTCACTTGGATGGATAAGGTGTAAGGCTGCAAATCTGCATGATGTCATCCTCTGCCCTATCCAGCCACGATTTACCCTTTTTTTAGCCTTTTGCCTTTTTTTCTTGAAGAGCACATGGTGCAAAGGGTGCTCCAGATCTAAGCGTATGCACGAGCCCTCCGGATTTTGATTTTGTAGTTCATGGTAGGGAAGTCAAGAAGGTACCTCATTGCTACACAAGAGGTGTCTCCAGTGCACCCCAAAATAATGCGCATTGCTTTGTTTTGCACGTTTTCAAGTCTTTCAATCTGAGTAGGACTGACAGTGAGGGTGGCTAGGGCATATTCGATGGGAGAAAGTACAAGTCCCTGGTATAGAAGCAGAAGCAGTCTTTGCTCAGTGTTAGCGGTGGCCAGGACCCTCATTGCTGACAGCCTTTGCGTGCTTTTGCTATAACATCGTCAACATTTTCTTTGAAGGACAGGCTGCGATCAAACCTCACTCCGAGGTATGTCATCAGATTTGTTCTTGTCAAAATGTTCTCATTGCTTTCCACTGCTGGTAAGTCTGCCTTCACTATATGCGTGTTCAAGGAGAACTACGTTACTAAGGCCTTTGAATGGTTGACATGAGCATTAGAATCTGCACACCAGGAGGAGATACGATCAAGTTAACTCTGCATTGAACTGGCAATCTCTTGACGATCTCTTCCATGTCGGTATACTAAGACGTCATCAGCAAATGACAAGGTCCTGCCACTCCTGTGCAACTCTGCTCAGTTATCAGCACTGAATAGAACTGGAGATAGTGGAGAACCTTGAGGCAATCCTGAACTGATGGTTATCGGTTCTGAGGACTAACAAGCACACCTGAGTCTTGCACCTCTGTCTTCCTATTTTTGACAGCGGTTTTTTTTTTTTTTTTTTTTTTTATGGTGTGGATTTCATGTTTGTGTGATTGTTTCAATTTGTTTCCATATTATATCTTTTCTGCCTTCCATCCCCCAGTGGAGCAAAGACCAACTAACTACGCCAGTTTGTATCATCTTTCACTATTTTTGTATTATAATAATTTTTCAAGCATTTTTTTTCTGAAAGTTTGTCGATAAAGGCGCAAAATTTTTTGCTGAGTTGACCACTAGCTTTGAGCTCAAATCAATATTATGAAAGTCTCAAACAGTTAAAAACTATGTGAGTATCGATTACCTGCCCAGGACTGCCAAGTACACAAGAGTAATACTTAGTGTAACTGTTACAGGGTATCTGGAATACAAGGCGAGACTCATATTTGTATCGACCAATGGGGCTGGTACTAAGTGAGTGACGTGTTCAACATCACTAAGAATTGTGTAGTAGAGTGACGTGTTCAACATCACTAAGAATGGTGTAGTGGAGTGACGTGTTCAACATCACTAAAAATGGTGTAGTGGAGTGACGTGTTCAACATCACTAAGAATGGTGTAGTGGAGTGACGTGTTCAACATCACTAAGAATAGTGTAGTGGAGTGACGTGTTCAACATCACTAAGAATGGTGTAGTGGAGTGACGTGTTCAACATCACTAAGAATGGTGTAGTGGAGTGACGTGTTCAACATCACTAAGAATGGTGTAGTAGAGTGACGTGTTCAACATCACTAAGAATGGTGTAGTAGAGTGACGTGTTCAACATCACTAAAAATGGTGTAGTAGAGTGACGTGTTCAACATCACTAAGAATGGTGTAGTGGAGTGACGTGTTCAACATCACTAAGAATGGTGTAGTAGAGTGACGTGTTCAACATCACTAAGAATGGTGTAGTAGAGTGACGTGTTCAACATCACTAAGAATGGTGTAGTGGAGTGACGTGTTCAACATCACTAAGAATGGTGAAGTGGAGTGACGTGTTCAACATCACTAAGAATGGTGAAGTAGAGTGACGTGTTCAACATCACTAAGAGTGGTGAAGTAGAGTGACGTGTTCAACATCACTAAGAATGGTGTAGTATAGTGACGTGTTCAACATCACTAAGAATGGTGTAGTGGAGTGACGTGTTCAACATCACTAAGAATGGTGTAGTAGAGTGACGTGTTCAACATCACTAAGAATGGTGTAATGGAGTGACGTGTTCAACATCACTAAGAATGGTGTAGTAGAGTGACGTGTTCAACATCACTTAGAATGGTGTAGTAGAGTGACGTGTTCAACATCACTAAGAATGGTGTAGTAGAGTGACGTGTTCAACATCACTAAGAATGGTGTAGTAGAGTGACGTGTTCAACATCACTAAGAATGGTGTAGTAGAGTGACGTGTTCAACATCACTAAGAATGGTGTAGTGGAGTGACGTGTTCAACATCACTAAGAATGGTGTAGTAGAGTGACGTGTTCAACATCACTAAGAATTGTGTAGTAGAGTGACGTGTTCAACATCACTAAGAATGGTGTAGTGGAGTGACGTGTTCAACATCACTAAGAATGGTGTAGTGGAGTGACGTGTTCAACATCACTAAGAATGGTGTAGTGGAGTGACGTGTTCAACATCACTAAGAATGGTGTAGTGGAGTGACGTGTTCAACATCACTAAGAATGGTGTAGTGGAGTGACGTGTTCAACATCACTATGAATGGTGTAGTAGAGTGACGTGTTCAACATCACTAAGAATGGTGTAGTAGAGTTACGTGTTCAACATCACTAAGAATGGTGTAGTAGAGTGACGTGTTCAACATCACTAAGAATGGTGTAGTAGAGTGACGTGTTCAACATCACTAAGAATGGTGTAGTAGAGTGACGTGTTCAACATCACTAAGAATGGTGTAGTAGAGTGACGTGTTCAACATCACTAAGAATGGTGTAGTAGAGTAACGTGTTCAACATCACTAAGAATGGTGTAGTAGAGTGACGTGTTCAACATCACCAAGAATGGTGTAGTGGAGTGACGTGTTCAACATCACTAAGTATGGTGTAGTAGAGTGACGTGTTCAACATCACTAAGAATGGTGTAGTAGATTGACGTGTTCAACATCACTAAGAATAGTGTAAAAGAGTGACGTGTTCAACATTACTAAGAATGGTGTAGTAGAGTGACGTTTTCAACATCACTAAGAATGGTGTAGTAGATTGACGTGTTCAACATCACTAAGAATGGTGTAAAAGAGTGACGTGTTCAACATCACCAGGAATGGTGTAGTAGATTGACGTGTTCAACATCACTAAGAATGGTGTAAAAGAGTGACGTGTTCAACATCACTAAGAATGGTGTAGTAGATTGACGTGTTCAACATCACTAAGAATGGTGTAATAGAGTGACGTGTTTAACATCACCAAGAATTGTATAGTAGAGTGACGTGACACGGAATGATTTATTTCCGGAATGAGGGCGGAGTGGTTGGGGGGGGGGGGGTGGTCAAGAGGGTGCTGAATTACTGACACAGGAGAGCAGTGGTATAAATATTCTTTTTCTTGCTCTATTTTTTTTTTTTCTTATTATTATTAGTATCGTCATCATCATCATCACCACTGCCAATATTATTTATTTTATTCCTCTTCTTCTTTCACCTTACCCTTTCTTCTCTTCTTCTTCTTCTTCTTCTTCTTCTTCTTCTTCTTCTTCTTCTTCTTCTTCTTCTTCTTCTTCTTCTTTTTCTTCTTCATTTTCTTCTTTTTCTTCTCCTTCTTCTTCTTCTACTACTACCTTTTCTTATTCTTCTTCAGCACTGCGACAGGTTCAATGCTGTAGATATCGTCTATCGCCATTCGCATAAGTGACTGGCCTTGTTTTTCCATTTCTAGTTGCTGACCCAAAGTATTTGTAAGTCTGCCTGTCAATTATTTCTTAGCCTGCGTATTTATGGTAGTTTTAGTGATAATTTTACAGACTTCAAATGTCATTCGAGCTTCTCGCTCTTTATTCTCCACTGTTTGCGTCTTTTGGAGGGCTCCAGATTCGCAATAAGACTCTTTTCCCAGTACTTTGTTCTCAGTGGCGTGTCGCAGGCTGAGTATCGTAAGCTGTCAATAGAAGTTATAATTAATAAGTTGTGTGTGTGTGTGTGTGTGAGAGAGAGAGAGGGAGAGAGAGAGAGAGAGAGAGAGAGAGAGAAAAAGAGAGAGAGAGAGAGAGAGAGAGAGAGAGAGAATCTAGACCACAGTTTTGGGATTTCTCACACCCCGCTGATAGTTGATCAAGCTTCTGCATGTCCCAAAACGAAAATGCATTGGTCATACTAGTTTAGAAGAGGTGTCACTGTGGTGTAGCGGCTAGACACTTGCCTGCGGATCGGAAAGTCGTGGGTTCTGGTCTTGACAGAGCCTCAGTTTTTTTAAATGAACTTGGCTCTCAGGTCGACCCAGCCTTGAATGGATACCAAGTGTAGTCATCGGAAGTAAAGGCCTCTGATTGGTCTTTAAAATAAAGGTCTAGCCCTATATACCCAGTACACCTAAAGGCGTGGAAAAGAGTCCCATTACTGACTTTTATACTAGTTTAAAAAAGAGTGGTAACTGAAGACTTGTTTCCTGACAGACGAGATACGAAGATGTATATCCACTGGAAGCAAAAGCTCTGCTCCATGAGGATGAGGGGATGATACCACTTAGGCGGGAATCACTAACCATCGATCGATCTGTTTGTCTGTCTGTCTATCTATCTGTCAGTCTCCCTGTCTGTCACTTTCTTTCTCTTTGTCCATTTCGTTTGTTTTTTTTCTTCTACACTCACTCACTGTGTGAGTGTGTGTGTGTGTGTGGGTTTTTTTTTTTTTCGTGACCCAGCTTCAGAATCTAGAACATGTATGCATTGTTTATGATATCAAATGGCAGACCATAATATAATATTCACATAATGTAACCTTTTCAGCAACTAGCTCACATGCTGGATACAGTAATCCTGGCTTCACATCGACAACTCAAGCTTACTACTAGGTTATCATGCTCGACAACTCAAGCTTACTACTAGGTTATCATGCTCGACAACTCAAGCTTACTACTAGGTTATCATGCTCGACAACTCAAGCTTACTACTAGGTTATCATGCTCGACAACTCAAGCTTACTACTAGGTTATCATGCTCGACAACTCAAGCTTACTATTAGGTTATCATGCTCGACAACTCAAGCTTACTACTAGGTTATCATGCTCGACAACTCAAGCTTACTATTAGGTTATCATGCTCGACAACTCAAGCTTACTACTAGGTTATCATGCTCGACAACTCAAGCTTACTATTAGGTTATCATGCTCGACAACTCAAGCTTACTACTAGGTTATCATGCTCGACAACTCAAGCTTACTACTAGGTTATCATGCTCGACAACTCAAGCTTACTACTAGGTTATCATGCTCGACAACTCAAGCTTACTACTAGGTTATCATGCTCGACAACTCAAGCTTACTACTAGGTTATCATGCTGGACAACTCAAGCTTACTACTAGGTTATCATGCTCGACAACTCAAGCTTACTACTAGGTTATCATGCTCGACAACTCAAGCTTACTACTAGGTTATCATGCTCGACAACTCAAGCTTACTACTAGGTTATCATGCTCGACAACTCAAGCTTACTATTAGGTTATCATGCTCGACAACTCAAGCTTACTACTAGGTTATCATGCTCGACAACTCAAGCTTACTATTAGGTTATCATGCTCGACAACTCAAGCTTACTACTAGGTTATCATGCTCGACAACTCAAGCTTACTACTAGGTTATCATGCTCGACAACTCAAGCTTACTATTAGGTTATCATGCTCGACAACTCAAGCTTACTACTAGGTTATCATGCTCGACAACTCAAGCTTACTACTAGGTTATCATGCTCGACAACTCAAGCTTACTACTAGGTTATCATGCTCGACAACTCAAGCTTACTACTAGGTTATCATGCTCGACAACTCAAGCTTACTACTAGGTTATCATGCTCGACAACTCAAGCTTACTACTAGGTTATCATGCTCGACAACTCAAGCTTACTACTAGGTTATCATGCTCGACAACTCAAGCTTACTACTAGGTTATCATGCTCGACAACTCAAGCTTACTACTAGGTTATCATGCTCGACAACTCAAGCTTACTACTAGGTTATCATGCTCGACAACTCAAGCTTACTACTAGGTTATCATGCTCGACAACTCAAGCTTACTACTAGGTTATCATGCCAGCTTCTCACTGGAAAATATCCACATGTGGATAAGCATAGAACCTCATATGATTGACAGATGAAACCTTTAGGAAAGTCAAATACACGCACATTAAAAAAAGTACATTGTTAATTTTTTTTTAATTCTGAGTATAATTCCTGTCTGCGACTCGCTTCATAACTTGACAATAAAAGCCCGGAACTGTAAAAAGGTAGCAACACAAGAGAAAGTAAAAGCTAGGATAAAACGGGGGGGGGGGGGGGGGGTTGGTCAGAAAAACAAGTGATGATGAGAATGATAAATGAAGTAGAGGAGAAGCAAGATGCTGAGGGTGGGGGGAATCAGAAATACAACAATTAATTCAAGACAACACCCAGGGAGGTGCTATAAATATCTTAACCGGTGGCTCTGTGTTGAGAGACAGAAGACGTGCCTGGATCTTCATTTAAAAAAAAAAAAAAAAACTTGTTGCGTATCCCTTAAAGGACGTTGCAGAACCAACCCAGCATTTTTGTGTGGATGTTGTGCGTTTTACTAGACACATTTTACGCTCAGTAGTTTTCCATTGCAACTTAATGGTCAGCTCTTGGTACCACTGTCAATCCCAACACTAAACAGTGATTAAACCCAGCACCCCGGGATCACGAAGCGCGTTCACAACGGCTAAGCCACAGACGCAGAGAGGGAAAAGGGGGAGGGGGTTGGTCATAGCAAAAGTGAATAGATCCTTAAAGCTACAACGCCTTTTATATTATATCACAACATATAGTTTGAGAATGGATATAGGGGTGTTCACTGCAGTCTTCCGTTGGCTGGCGAATCAACTGCACACATTTTGTGATTGTAACTGACTCACACAGCGTGCTGACAAATGTCTAGGCAGATATACTTCAGTGCAGACTGGCACGCATGGCTTCAGAAGTCTAGGGTAGTTAGCATCGTTTGAATTGTTTCTCTAGGGCACAGGTGTGTTGGAAAACGAACTGTTGGACAGACTTGCAGGCTTGGTACCGCTTGGTGGTAAGTTTGTGCACGACAAGGGAGAGAGTGAACTGTGCGGAGGTACACTTGAATTATCACGATCTGAAAAGAATGGTGCACCTGGGAGTGACTGTGGGATCTGGCTGACATACCACACTAGGAGGAAAGGCCAGACGGTTCCCAATGTTATTGGTACCACTGGAGCTGGAACGTTTCACTGGCTGCTGAAGATGGGGACGGGGCGCTTATAGGATATCCCGAGTGCTATAGTGTCAATTTTTAAAACTCAACTTATCCTCGTGTCATCCTGTCTTCGTGCACCAATATCCGGGTCAGAATAAATTAAATTAACAACACTTGTTTAGAAGCAATAACAAACAGCAAAAAATGAAATCACCTGCTGACTATGACAAACGGTCTCAAGAGTGAGATAACCAGCCATCTGTCGCAGAGTGAGTTAACCAGAGAAGACCTAGAAGCAAGATTAGAGAACACTACTGGCGCCATTTTGGAAAAACAACTGAATCTGGTATTCTTAGTTTCAGCTTCACGGCAAACATGTCACCCCATCTTTGCTCTGCTCCTGTGCCAACGAAAAAGACACATAATGTTTATCACAGTCCCTTGTGGAAAGAGTGACAGACTGCTGTCTCAGAATATCTAGCATACACACGCACTATAGCATACGGTAGCCATCCGAAGTGCTAACACAAACAGTCTGACATTAGAAATGCAGTTTATCATGGATGGTAGCAGAAGTCACTAACAGATCAGCAGTTGCACACGCGATTATTTTAATCACATAATGGCACCACCAATATTGCGACAAAAGGCATCGCACCATTTTCTGAATTTACAATTCACACCACCAAATGAAATCCGCAGCTCACAGTGTCACGCCATGCACTCAGCTCAGAAGTTGGGCGACGAAACTATCCTTTCAGTCTACAAATGGAGCAAAAATGCACCGGCCACCGTCTGGCAGAAGCAAAAAACACTTGCCACGGCTCACAACTATGACCGGAAGTAGTGCAATTGAATTATATGTATATGTAAATATTGGTGTGGATGTGTGCGTGTGCGTGAGGATTGTCAAGTTGTGTTGTTGTTAACTGCTGATTATATCATTAGGTAGATGACAGGCGAACTTTCCGCGGGTTGTAATGGCCCTGTCATGAGTAAATGTACTCTTCGTTGGCTACTGAGTTAGGGTACAGAGGGTACAGAGCACCTGTGGGACTGTACGGAGTGCAAGGGTGTCAGTTCTTGGTTCATCCATCATTTATTCTAGACTATACTGAGCTTGTGTGTGAGAGTGTGTTTGTGTGTGTGTGCGCCCGTGTTTCGTTTTGTTGTGTTGTTTATTTCTTTAAAAAACAAGAAAACATTGCAGTGTCCCAAAAACAACAAATCAATGATAGTTTCACAAGGGTCACAAGGCATACATATTAGATGAAACTAAATCCGCTTTCTCAAATGGAGGTGGCAGCCGAGGAAATATAAACAACGAGGGGGGGGGGGGAGAGGAGGGGAGGAGTTCGGTAAAATATTCTTTTTCATTTTACTGACACATCTGGCAACAATGTAAACATGACAAAATATATGACGAACTGCAGGTGGGTAAAAGATGGCGAGGTTGGCTTCCGTCTCTATTAAAAGATGTGTGAAAGCGGGACGTGCATGATGCGGGTATTGAGTTGGGTTAATTCAAAGACATTCCACGTTGCATGAAGAGGAAAGTCGAAAAAGTAAGAGGGACAAAAATTGAACAATTGCAGACAGGTTAGGAGCGAGTCACACTCGCCATCGTCACGGTCAATGATTCCGATGCCTCCATATAGCACAGTATAATACTGTCGTCTGGACGACGTAAAGGTGCCAGCCAACCAACAGCAATTTTCCCTAATGCGCATGGGACGGTGGAAAAATACAAAATAAATGGTCAGTCGGGCTCAAATGTTAAAATAGCCCACTTGTATCAGCAAAATGGTGTTCATTGTAAAATAAATAAATCTTCATGAATGTGGGGTTTTTTTTAACCATAATTAACTGGATCATGCAGAGAGCCATAACGCACTACTGTTCTCAAATAATTAACATTTTTTTTAACCGCCCTTATATCGTAAAAGTGGTATCAAAATACACACAGATGGGTCGTAGTGAGCGATCAGAAGAGTGGGTTGGGGTTTTATTGCCAGGGTGAATGGACAATGCTCGAAAACAGAGAGTCATGTGTACAACGTCACTACACCCAAAATGTGAATGAAGGTGGAGGCCGGAACGGCAGCTTTCCACTGGCTTTAGAACAGCACAACCCGACATGTTATAATTGCATCAGACTCACAGAGCCTGCTGCAGAAAATGTCAACTGGCCACTTGGGCGCAGAGTGGCTTGCATCATTTGATAAGAGCCAGATCAAAAGCACATCAGAGACTTTCTCTTCAGGGCATTGATTTTGCGAAGTAACGAGCAGGCTGATAGATTGGCTGCTGCGGCTCCTCTGGGCGGTGAGCTGCTGTATAATAAAGCTGATATGAGGAAAGCTCTTTGCGATAAAATGAACAGTGCAAAATAACAGCTAGGGAATCCAAACACTGAAAGACTAATTCAACGGGGAAGGGGGTGGGGAAGTAGAAGTTTTGGAAGATATTCAACATAGAAGGGGAAAATAGAGGCGGACTTCTAATCAGGTTGCAACTGGTGTTTACCATGACAACTCAGCTTTGTTTAATGAAGAATGGCACGGATCACGTGCGGGAATGTCCAAATTGCAGAGATTTCAATTCTTTATTTATTCATTCA